ATATTTATTGCAAGCCGGAATCTCTATGTGCGGACGTGTTCCGATCGTTGATCGCGATTCGCTCCTCGAATGCAAATTGTAGTTTCAAGGCTTCGGAAGAAACCGTTTCTTCCCGCGGATTTTTCTTTTTAATTTCTTATATCGAGAAAAAATTTGGTAGTAACGTGATTTAGTATTAAATATGGGGAACATTTGCTGGTCAAATATTTGATTGTTACAGCAAGCAAAAACAATTTAGTTCCATGTATTGTATATACGGAACTAAATTATATTAGGTTGCAGCGATCAAAAATATTTGATCAGCAGATATTCACGTAATTTCAGTACTTGTTGCCAAATCCTCTCCTCAGTGCGCCTTCTTTATGGGAAAGAAAGCAAATACGGCAGGCTTTAATCGAAAGCGCGTGAATTCTTTCGAAACGGATTTCGGTACCCGAAGAGATCCGTGGAAAAAATATGGAGGGAGAGGCGTGTTTTTTTTTTCTTTCCGAAACTTGGTAACTATAGGGTGCAAATTCGCCGTCGAGACGGGAAATCGAACCATGTCGTTATTTCGTTACTTCTCCCCGCGCATCCTCCCCCCTCGCTCCCCCCACCCTCCGTTATATGCATCCTTTGTTACTAGATTCAGTTCACGCGTACATTGTCGCATGTAATATTCCGGTTCTCTATCTGTCCTCGGCGCGCAGCGGACCGCCCCTGTTCTCTCGCTATACAGATAGCGCGAGAGTGTATGTGTGTGTGCGTATGTGCGTGCGCGCGCATGCGAGTATGCGTTGACGCGCACGAGGAGTCGTCCCGCGAGCGTTTACGCACGGTGTACGAGTGGCTACTGTTACGCCAGACGTCTACTTTGTCTACGAGCCTCCTTGCTTCGTCGATTTTGATGCGCGATCCGCGCGACGCTTGGCGAAGAGGAAGAACAAAAAACATATTCCGCCGTTGGGGGGGGGGGGGGCGCGCGCGAGCGAATTCTGGNNNNGGAATAAATGATCATCAAGCGTAGGATCGTGTATTCCGCGTTCTACGAAATTCCCGAGATTCCGGAGATGGATATCCGTGCTACATTTCACGGCTACCGGCTGTTTTATCCGCGAACGATAAATCCGGTGAGGAGGGAAAGGGATGCCAGATTTGCGCGGTACCGGAGAGGCGAAAAAAAATTTAGGATTTTATTCCCAGCGAAAAACGGTCTTTCGAGAAACGCTTATTAGAGAGGTTCCCGGTATTCGCGGGATAATAGGAAGCGCGCGGAGCCCCCGCGTTCTTTCCGCTTCCCGCGACGATTCTTGATGTCGGAATGTCTGAACATTTTGACGTTATTCGAAAGATAAAATTTGCCGAAGGACTCTCTCTCTCTCTCTCTCTCTGTGTGGGATAAGTAAGGAGGAATGAAAATACGGGGATACAAATGTAGCGAGTAACGTGTTCTACATAAGCATAATGCCTGAGATTACAATGCGATTCGGCATTACAAAGAGCGCGGGGGACAATGTCAGAGGCGCTGATCCCTATTGTTGAAAATAATACGACTGTACGATAATAATGGCGTGCGGAATTCGGTTTCTTATTCCTCCGGCTTACTGCTCGCGAAACGACTCGAGACTCCGAAATAGCATATGACTTGGTCTCTACTGGTGTGATTCATAGTTCGTCGCGATCCAACTAGCGGTTAGTTGCCGATGCTGAGCTATCAGTTGCATGTAATCAGTTCGCGGGGAGAAAAAAACAGAGAGAGAGAGAGAGAGAGGGAGGGGAGGAGGAAAGAGAGAAAAGATACGAGATTCATAATCGTCTCGCTAAAAATACATGCAGAACGTAACGCGAAGTCTGCGAGAACTTGTCTTGTGTGTCGTATTTTATCACCGCAAATATATTACTCGTGATCGTCCACTAGCAATTATTTATGCAACGGCGGATGTCGAAGAACGGCGAATTATGCGTCATGTCTCCTTCAACTTCGAAAACTTCCACAATTTCAACCGATTACATCCATCCGCTCCTCATTACATTCATGATATCGACAACCCTCCGTCGTATTTTTATTAATTTTTTCTCCCCTTCATTTTTTCCGCGCCAAACGTGGGAAATTCTTAACCGGTGAAATCGACACGCGATTGAATTCACTTTCGATCGGTCTCTCCGAGAGAACCACACGACACACCTCCGCACGACATATTTATTATTTCTGTTCGACGTTAAGGCGAACGTCGCAACGTGTGAGTGGTCACCAACGTGGTCCGACCAGTTTTCCCAGGAACTCGAGGAATTTAATCTAATTCCGATCCGCCTGCTGCGCCGATCTCTGGTTATTTATTTCTCCCTGCTTTTTCAAGGAAAGCGGGTCACAGGCGAATCGCTATTGAGCCTACGATCGCGCGCGCAATCTTATCTATATAAAAGAGAGAACAAAAGAGGAGAGGAACTAATTACAACGGGGCGGCGACGCGTGCGGCGGGCACGTCCCTGACGCTGCGACGACTACGACGGACGGATGGCGGCTGGGTGGTGGTGTAGTCGTGTCGTGTGTGCGTAGGTGTGCGGGTTGGAAGGCTCTCTCACGTACGCGTATCTGCATGTCGCTGCGCACACATGCAGCGTCGGCACGACCGTCGCGCGCGCGCAAGTGCATCCGTCCGCGCGCGCCGATGAGAAAGCCGCGCGCGCGTTGCACGGAGGCGGACGAAGCGCATGCACACGTACGTACGACGCAAGGGTGCCGGCCAGCCAGCAACTGTCAGTGACGCTCGAGCGTGTGCGTTCCTGTCTCGCGTTATCTCTCTCTCGCTCTCTGCGTTCGTCAGTGAGCGCCGCCGCGCTCGTCGGTTCTCCTCGCTCTCCGGAGTGGGTCGGTGGAACGTGTGCGTGCGTGTTCTCTCGCGCGAGGAGAGAGAGAGAGAGAGAGAGATACGCCAACTAAGAAGTAGAATCGTAGGAGAAGGTAGTAGTCGCGGAGGTGGAAGAGGAGAGGAGGAAAGGAGACGACGCAGCGCGTCGCTGGTGGTATAATGGTAGTAGTACTAGTAGTAGTATAGTAGCAGCAGTCGCGTGCACGTTGCGGGGACGGTCGGACGGCGTATTCTCTCTTCGGTGTGAGTACGTGTGTGTGTGCGCGCGCGGTAGCTCGGCCGTTCGGTTATACGCGACTCGACTGGTCGCGGGCGGTTCAGTTGAGCAACCGAGTCCGCGCGCGGCGGCGAACGGTGCGGCGTATACGCGCGCGACCGAGGGAGAGAGATAGATAGAGAGGGATTCATCGATAGCGGCGGCGGTGGGGGACGAGCGGGAGGCAGTGCGAAGCGGATCATCGCGACACGTCGAGACGCGTACGCGCGGTGACGGCGATGTCAATAATTCGGTGCGGCCGGCTCGTTCCTAACTTCCGACCCGCGACGACGACGACGTTACCGCTGACGTCGTCGTCGTCGACCTCGACGTTCTCCTCGTTGTCGTCGTCTCGGCTACGTTGCTCCTTCCCCGGTCGGTAAAGGCCACCGCGTAGCAGCAGCCGTATGTCGTGACGTGACGCGCGCACGACGTGCACGCGAACGGTGTAAAGCGAAAAAGCGACGAGGTACCCTTCCACCACGCTGAAACACGACGCAGCGGCGAGGGTAGGTAGTGCGCGCGCCGTTCACCCACGGGCAGCCGGTAATTCGCGCGAGACCCCGTGTGCACTTGAGTCTCTCTCTCTCTCGCTGTGCGTTCGTTGCCGTCTGTCTCTACCGTGGTGTGTAGTGGTGTGTACTACCGCTATGTACATTTATCGCGAGTGCGAGAGTGAAACCAGGCGAAGCCGTCCGCAAGCGAGAGCGAGCGGACGGCGAGCTACATCGGTGGAGTAGCAGTAGCAGCAGCTACGAAACGGCGGAGAAACATGTAGGAGTGTGTATGCATGCGCTCGTGTGTATGTGCCGTACGTATGTGCCTGTCGTTCTTTGCGCGAGTGCACGAGTGAGCTCTCCTCGGATGTGCAGTGGGCCGGCTCTCTGCGTTGGTGGCGTGTGTGTATGCGTGTGCGTACACGTGCGTGCGCGCTGCCTCCTACTGGCCTCCCCCGGCCTCGCGTGCGTACGTGTGCCTCTCTCTCTCTCTCTCTTTGTGTATGTACGTGTGTGTGTGTGTGTGCGCGCATGCATGCAACGAGCGAGCATGTGTCAGTGACTCCCGGTGTGACCACACTGGGTGGGAAGCGAGCATGCGGAGTAGTTTCGTCGCATGTTACGAGCATCCACTACCTGTCCTAGGAGTCGTACTATACGACGCCTATATCGTCTCCCGTCTATTTATACGACGACCATACACGACTCGTACCCTCTTCCCATCCTCCCCACGTCGCCCTCCCGCTTCCCTTTCGTCTCTTTCTTCCTCCACAGTCTTCCTCTCACCCCTCTTTCTCTCTGCCCCTCTTTGGCATGCATTAATTCCTTCCCCACCACCTCTACTACACTACTACTTCTACTACTACCATCATCATCCACCACCACCACCACCACCGTCGTCGTCGTGTGTCTCCGGTATATCGGCTCCTTTTCTTTCCCCCTCGCTCTCGTATACTCTCTTTTTCTCTCTCTCTCTCTTTCGCCCTCTTTCATTTTACTCCTTCCCTTTCTCGCTCCTACGCTTTCCCCTCCACGCGCGAGTACGTCTTTCTCTTTCTCCTCCGTCGTCTCCTCTTCCTCCACCTCTGTGTCTCTTCCTTCGCCCCGTAACGACATCCGCGAACATGAGCGAGTTGAGTCGACTCGGTCTCTCCCTCCCTCTCTCTCACACACTCACTCGCTCACTCTCTTCCTCCGTCCCGCTCTTCGCTGCTCTCCTCACCGTCGTACTCTTACGTTCACGCGGAATGCGCCGCCAGGAATTCTCCCTCACAATGGATTTATTGTGTTAGTGAGAGCGGCGCGAGCGCGCGTACGGTCGCGCGCGCGCGCGGTTCCTCGGCACGCTGCGAGAGAGCGGGCGGGCGGACGGGGACGCACAGACGAGCGAGCGAGTGAGCGACCGGACGGCTCGAAGGAAGGAACGTATGCGCGCGGGACTTGACTCTGAGAGAGCGCCGAGCGATCACCGAGTCGAGTCAAGATGGAGCTGCTAGACGCGCCGGGACTGCACAAGTTCCACGGTTCCGATACGTTTCTCCTGGCCGGCGATCGTCTTCCGAGTGTTCTTCTGGCCACGTAAAAATCCGGAACCGCCGTCGCAGAGAGAAGGAGAGGAACATCTTCTCCGAGTCTTCGCCTCCCGACGGTTCCTGCACCGTAACTAAAAGTTCGGACGGTAACAATCGCTTCTCGATCTCGACGGCCTTTCGCTATCTTTACGCCGAATCCCCGGCAGTGCCGTAGCAGTGCGCGCGGTTCCATCTATGCGTCCTCTTCCGTCGGCGAGAGAGAGAGAGAGAGAGATATCTCGTTGCAGTGCGGTCTCGGTCAACAGTGTGTGTCTTTTTCTTCCTCCGTCTCTCTTTCGCGGGTCTCGTAATAGCGGTGCGTTTTTTGGTGCCGTGGCTCGTTGCCGGATCCGCGTTTCTACTTATCGTCGACGCGTCGACGTTTTCGGCCTGTGTGTGTTCCGCCGTGAACGTGACGCGTTCTCCGTGATGCGCGATAGCATCGCGCGATAATCACGATTGCATATAGCGTGCAGTGTACTTCTCTCTTTTCTCTCGCCCTTCCTCCCCCCCTCCTCTCTTTCTCTTTCTTTCACCACCTTCGTAACGAGATTACGTCGGTTCTCCACAGTGTATCTTCGCGGCTCGATACACGGTAGTGTTGGGTTCGCGCCAGTGACTACGATTGCACTCTGTCTCTCGCACGGCCGCGCGCATGTGTGTGTTTACACATATATGTGTGTATATGCGCGCGTATGTTGTGCAATAATGCCTTTGCGCGGCGCGATTGATCACGCTGCGGCGAAACCACCGCCGTCGCCGTCTGAATGGAAAGTGCACTCTCGGTACACGGGACGCAATTGAACGAGGAGAGAGAGATGGTGATGCTCGTCGCCGCGTTGCATGCACGCCACGCCGCACCAGCTGTGGGCGGATTTACCGGTCCGGGACTGCCGACTCGCTCTATGATCCTTGACGTTGCCCAGACGCGTGAATCGCGTCTCCACGTCGCTTTATCTCGCCGCCGCGGCAGCTTTCGACCTTAAGCCTAAGTTGTACGTCTATTTGAAATTCGTCCCGGTATTCATCGTGCGAGATGCGGCGACGGGTGAGAGTGAGATCAAAAGAGAGAGAGAGAGAGAGAGAGAGACAACTGCGTCGGTGTTCGGCGCATGATTCCACGTATTGCGGTCGTCGTCTCCTCGAACGAGAGTCCAAGTGTTTTGAAAGGACGTTACACGTCGTACAAATAACCCTACGTTACTTCGAGGGCATGCGATCGTGCGCGGCTTCGGTCATCCGTGTATTAACGGTAATCTCGGTTTAACGATTATTCGTTATCTCGACCGCTACTATTACTGTACTACCGCTGCTGCTGCACCGTTGCCACACTGCTGTCTCTCGACTTTATCATTACTCTTATTTTATCTTCCGTCTGTTCTCAAGGTGACTCAACTACCGTTTCCTACGAAAAAGTGACAGTGCCCGAATTACGATGAAAGTAACTCAACGCCAATGAGCAAGCGAGCGCGAGAGATCGTCGTCTCTGTTCGTCGCCGTCTCGCGCCGCCAGCAGCGGTGCGCGTTCGATCGTGTCGCGAATCGTGTCGGGGAAAACGTCGGGGCCCCTCGCGAAAATACGTCGTCGCGATATCGTATATCGCATATATTCGCGTTCCCGTTCAAGCCGTGCCACTTCGATAGCCGAATCCGCGGGTGTATTTTCGTCCGAGCGGCCAACGAAAAGTTCAAAGTTGAATCACACGCGATCGACGATAAGATTATGACGTAGCGCGTGTGCATGCCTGATCGCGCGCGCACCACCTCTCTTCTTCCGTAACCTCGTTCTTCTTCTTTTTCTTCTTACTTCTATGACTCCCCCCCCCCCTTCTCACGTCCTCCTTCCCCACCGCCGCCTTCTCCGTCGTTTTCTTCGTTCGGCGCGCATCGCCGCCGAGCGGCGCGCGATCTCCGAATATTCACAGTTTGGGTTCGTTGATCGGTCCGAGAGTGTCAAACGCGGAATGGCTTCTCCGTCGCCAGGCGACAGGCGTGACAGTGTGAACTGTCATTCTTTTCGGTTCATTCTATAACCACGTTCGGGGTGGATCGCGCGCTCATTGGCGGCGAGACCGGGATTCAACGAGATGAGTACGTCAGCTCGTACTCTTGTTTTTATATCTCTCGGCTCGCAAAGAGTGAATTTCGCACTGAATTTATTTTCAATATTTTTGGATATATATATATTTTTTTAATATTATATTTGAATATTTTTTTCTGTAGTTTCGGAAAAACGCCGTTTTTTCATAACTTTCCCCTCGGATGTTTTTTCTTAATTTTTCACATTTTCTCTCTCCGGAAAAAGTGTAAATGTGGCAGGTTTTAACCGAACGTTTCGACATATGTGAATTTTTCTGAACAGATTTTCGCATCCGCGGGACAAAAACCGGAGAAAATTGGGGGACACCTCCCCCCCCCCCCCCCCCC